TTATTGTAGAAAGAAGAGCATTATTAGAGTGTAGTCATTAAGGACAACATTTACACTAAAAAAACCACCCAGGGCTGGGGCCATTGCCTGGTCACAAGGCCAAGCAGCAGACTGTGTGCATCAGTAACACAGCATTTGGCTTTGATCCTCATATGTAGTGGTTTTCTATTTTTGAGACAAAATTATTTCGGGTATGGATGGTTTTTTAGTCAAAAAAAAGCTATCAGATGATCACTGTGGAACTATTCACATCAGGAAAATAAAGCTACATATAAAAATATTTGAGTTATGGTCTTGGATCATGCCTAAAAATTAAAGGTCACAAAACAAATGAGATTATGTTAGAAAAGTGCATGCCAAGAGTGTGGAAGGTAGGAAATATGAGACTGTTTCGCTGACACTTCCCAATGAAAAAGGCACTTGGGGTGTGGCATCCCCAAATTGTGCCTGAACATCTTCCGTGGACAAGAAGTCTACTATTGTTTAGACACAGAATATAAATAATATGAACTGGAATTATTTTAACACTGTTTAAAAAAAAATTAAAAATAGAAAAAAGATAATTTTTTCTTGGAAAATTATGAGTGAATGCATGAATTCAAATAGGCATGAAACTGATTTTAAGTAGTAGGAAATTAATTTTTAGTGGTGATAGAAGACATAATCATCCTATTGATATGGGCCTCATGACTTTTCCAATTGCAAAAGAGACATTTCTGAAGGAACAGTCAAGGAGAGGAGCATCCAATTTTCACAGAATATAGGAACATTGGGTAGGACATTAAAAAAGGAGAAAGAAACCATCCAAAGGGAAAGGAAGTTCCTTACTAGTACTTGGAGCATACTTGTGCTTGGTCACAGTCCCATCCCAGCCTGGAAACACTGTTGGGTAAATCGTTTCCTCTGAAGAGTCTTCATCATCCGAACCATAGCCACTTGAGGTCACATCTGCTGTGATGATGTTAAACCTGCCATGAAGCCCTAACCCACAAGGTCTTCTGCTGACAGCAGTTATGCTTTCCTGTCTCCCCTACACGTAGCCTTACAGTCAGAGAGGAGAGTGTACAGCACTGTGCTTCCCACAGTCCATATCTCCTTCTGGTTCTTCCACCCACAAAGGATTCATCGCTCTGCCATGGCCCTGCTGAAGCTGCCCCACTGTGGCTCTTAGCTACATTTCAGTGCCCTGTGCATGCTCGCAGCACTAACCATGCTCTGTCCTCTTCTAGCAGAGCAAGCACAGTGCACTGGCTTGAAAATATTTTCTTTCTCCCTCCCACAAGTCCTTCCCATTGGAATAGTCTACTTCTAAATTGTCTCCAAACAGGTAAAAAGGAAAACCCAGGTATATCCTTCACAAAATGACTCACACGCTCATCCCTTTCAGACAAGCAGAATACCTCTGCAGTACATGAATAATGTGGACAGCTGCTCCATCACTACCAAATGCACAGTTAGCTAGAGGCCAGGCTTTTTACACTTCAAACACATGGTAACAAAAAGCAGTGACATATACCACACATTCAACCCCCCCTTTCACTCAATGCTTCTGAAGCTTGCTGCCCTTGTGCTCTGGCTATTCAGTCCCTAATCAAGGCACCCCCAAAGCATGACATTCTTTACCCTTGGTTGCTTGCGTGGGTTCTTGTGTCTTCTCTCCAGGATTTGACCACCACCAGTGGTTTGAGTATGGACTCCACTGAGATTGGGTGGTGGCTTTCTCCAGGTTGTCATGGTAAGGCCCTGGAGCTGTTAGGAAAGGGTTCATTTAACCAAGATCTTGCCATTATTTCTTGAGAAACACTTTTCCTCCAGCAAAGTGAAGTGCACCAGCACCCTGAGAATGCTTATGCCACTAGAGATGGATGTGAGTACACATGTGAATGGGTGAACCTGTGGTATCATTACATTTCTCCAACAGCAAAAGTATCCAATGCTTTTACTGTAAGTGAAGTTTGAAACATTCTACTAAAGTATAAGATTGTGTTACCAGCTCTGAAAGTACAGTAAATTCAATGAATTCTGCATAGCATTTTCAGGTGTGACAGATAAAAATATGTACTGTGTGTGAAATACACCCCAATATTTTGACAAAAAGCATTCAAAGCTAATAGAAGTATGCACATCATAGAAACTGAAATCCTTCAAGCAAGCAGGTTGATAGTTTAACCTTTCTCTCTGCTAAGGAAGTTATTTATCACTAAACTGAAAAGCAGAATTTGCAAGAAGAGCTGCACTTCAAGTCATACACATATTCACCAAATGAAAGTAAAATCTACGTAAAAATGTTTCTCCTGAATTATTTTTATTCTGGCAATTCCTCACAAGCAATATTTTTATCAGCATTTAGACCATCATACTTCTATATCTTGAAGATGAGGAAAAGATTTCATGTACTCATTTTCATTTAGGAAAAAGTCTTTAAATAATTAATTTAGAAAAATACCTTGATGTCTAACATCAAAAACACTAGTTTTCATTGATCTTTGTGCAATATATGAAAGCACTGGAAAATGCAAAACCTAGGAATTTTCATTCTAATGATCAAATAGGATAAATCTGAAAATTAATAAATTAATAAAATAAAGAAATAAAATAAATTTTCAATCTGAACATGAGGAAAAACTTCTTTACTGTGAGGGTGACAGAGCATGGCCCAGGCTGCCCAGAGAGCTTGTGGAGTCTCCTTCTCTGCAGACATTCAAAACCCGCCTGGACGTGTTCCTGTGTGACCTGGTCTGGTGATCCTGCTCTGGCAGGGGGGTTGGACTGGGTGAGCTTTTGAGGTCCCTTCTAACTCCTGATATTCTGTGATTCTGTGAAATTGATCTTCTTCGGTCTGCATTAGTTATGTTTTGCTTATCTGTAAATTGCAAAGTGTACTAAGTGTATGGACTTAAAACTGCACTTTTTCAAGGCGTAGCTAGTTTTGCAGCAAAGCCTAACAGATTTTGCCTTTCTGAAAAGCTGTCCTTGACTGAACATATAGTCTCTTCTCACAGTCACTAATAGCTACCTAAACTTAATACTGCTAGTACTACTCTGACACTGATGTCAGAAAATGTGAAACCTGGACATTCAAAATCTGATCTCTAAGCAACAGACCATGGAAACCCATCTGGTCTCAGATTTGGAGCCTTGGAATGGAAATGCAAACAAAATTATAATGGCAAAAGAAGTGGTTATCACAAAAATAACTGAATAACTAAACAATTGCCATCTGACTTGCTGTAGTCACAGCAAAATTCTCACCTCTACCTGCTTTCCACAACAAGCCTTAGGAGCTCATTTTCTTAAGTGATGAGTATGTATTCATGGCTTCCTTCCACATACAAAATGTCAATGCAGATCCTGTAATATCAGCCAAAGTATGGACAATTTTTTAATTGCTGAGATTTTTTTCAGGGAATGCTCCAAGCCAAATAAAAAGAAAATCTACCCAAACATAAAAATATCTATTATATACAGATGAATCAAATGTGTCACGGTTACTGTTTGAGTAACTAGCTCTGATAACTTAGGGAAGTATCTCATCGATCAGCAATGGAATTTTATGACATCTGATCCATGGCACATCTACAGATGAACCGTAAATTGTTAATAACAAAGAGAAAAACTTGTTTCACCCACGAGAGAAAGCCAATGGCAAAATGCTGGCAGTGTATTAATCTGGACTCCGAACTTGATGGAGAACATGACCAATAATGTCCAAAGCCAGTGCAATAACGAAAGGGGATCATCTGAGGAAGAAGGAGCTGTGGCAATTGCTCACTTCAAAACCATAGCAAAGAAGTGTTTTGACCAAGCTAGGCACCTTTTCACCAAACTTTAAGTTTACAATGATGTGTAATATAGATGGAAAGCCACTGGTTTTGTTTCTCACTTTCACATATCTTTTTGAAGATACATGCCAACTAGTTTTCTTTACTTATTTATTAATTTTCTAGTTTCCCTTCTGTGTGATTTTTCTCTAGGAGATTAAATTGTGGCGAGGCTATTCCAAAGAGCCTGCAATGTTGCGCAATGTAAATAGCAGACATTGGGGCATGGCTTTATCTTTTATTTGTTTGTTCTCCATAGAACTTTCTCCTATGCTTGATAACGTCTCATGGAGATGCATAGTTTATTCTTAACTTCTGAAAGGAGTGCTAAATTGCTCATTCATTTGTAATGCAGTAAAATTAAATTAAATGTGTCCGTTTGCCTTTAAATTGATGCTGTTGAGTAACAACTAAAGCTATCAGAAAAGCCCAGCTAACTTCATAATAATTTTTTTTTCCAGAGGAACAATCGATCAACCCTAAACCAATAAGCAATCATGCCAATGTCATCACTTCTGTGAGACACATATCAGTATTGGCCTCTTTTATTATATAGCTCTATAATTATTCTGATCTTTTAAAATCTTAAATAGCTCTAGTTTTCTCTCTGCAAAAGCATCATGCTTATGAGAGAGAGCTGTTATCAACAGGAAGGGACATACGTATTTAGGATAAATACATTGCATAATTAAGTAGTAAAAGGAAAGCCACAAGCTTTCCTGCCTAGAAACAATGCACAGGTTTTTGCAAGGGGTACAGGAACATCTGCACAAGGAATCAGTAAGTAACATATGTGTGCAAAAGCAAATAAATATGACTGAAAAATCACCACCAGAATCAACCAGGCAAACTCCCCACTGTTACCAGGCGGTATTTCCCCCATCCCTTACAGGCAATACTTTGTAGCAAAACATTGCACTTCAAACAAGCACCAGAAAATTCTCTATTTCCTTTAAAAATTTTTGGGGAAAATCAACATGAGATTTTTTTTTTCCATTTATAAGGTGTATTAACCTTCACATTCTCTGAGACAAGATGCTTGGTTGAATGATTTCTAGGTTTTAGTAAGTTTTTGCTAACTAATAAGTAATTCTTACTCTATCCTGTGATTTCTAAATACAGTAACAAGGGTAATGCCTCTTCAATTCACACAGACCCTTTGACCATCTATCAGCAACAAAGAAACAATTAAGCAAATTTCTCACTATCACGGACTTCCATGGTGGGGAAAAAAGAGGCAGCAGGAAGAAACTGTCATTGCTATAAGTTCAATCTTTACTACAAAATGCCTCTGTAGATCTCATCTGCATAATTAAAATGTTCTCCCTTCAGGATCACTTTCTCTTCTGGGACAAAGATATTTAACACTCTAAATTTAAGAACTAGAGTGAATATACGTATCGTTCCACTTAAAAATGTGTAAGATTACTTGGAAAGTTTTTCAGTTGCTGTAGCTTCTGTGCACCACAGATAAAAACATCACGAGCAGTTTTTCCCACTCAGTACAGCTATTTAAGGACAAAGCAGAGAAAATGGCTACTGTTCTTTTGAGACCTCAGCCTGTGGAGCCACCACAGGCCCCAATTCTTTCTCATGCATATTACCAACAAGAAGGACAAAATTATTTTTTGCCATGCACAAGTGGCTTGGCAATTGGAACTGCCACTTAAAGCATTGATTTAGTGACCAAGGCCATGGTTTTGGTGTGGATTACCCACATTCACAACTATAAATATATTAGAATCATAGAAAATTTCATCACAAATTGACAAAAACATCCTTTTCTACCTCAGAAATAAATTGACTTCAAGTGATAACGAGTTGCATTAAGTTGCGGTGCCTTATAGAGTAAACTGGTGTGATAAAAGAGCAGTGGGAAACAACAGACAATATTTTTGAAACAACAGTATTTTTGAACTCGGATATAACATTGAAGTAAACACACAGTAAACATTTTTGCTCCCCTTATCCTAGAGAGTGAAGTTTACTTCTGACTTAACCAGTCTGGAAAGCACTGTCTTTCAATGTCTTTCCAAAATTGGAGTTCATGTATACTTCACCACTTACCAGAATGCCCTGCTCTAAGAAGAAAGCAGTTTCTACGCAACCTATATTTGTTGTAGTTAATATAAACAGAAATCTTACTAGTACTTGCAGGATACTGTCCACCATCTTTTTCAAGGTAATCATCAGCTTCTGTCACCAAAGAGACGTCAGTTGATACAGGATAAAACGCATCATCTGTATGGTGACAGATGAATCATTACTATTTCATTAGCTAATACAGATGAATCATTACTATTTCATTAGCTAAGTTACAACTCAGCACTCACAACTACTTCAGTTATTCTATACCGCAAGCTTCATTCCTTCATTTATTGGTGCAAGAGAGAAGAAAGATACAGACTAGGTTCTTCATATAATTCAACGCTAAATGGCCTTGCTTTACTAACATAGTAAGGATATCTCCAAAACAGATTATTTCAAGAGGATTATGATTTTCAATGATAACAAACATTCTGGCAATGATCTGTTCATGTGATTCAAACTCTAATTGTACCTGTGTGCAACCTGGACAGGGACTCTAGAGCAATGAATGAAGTAATTTTAGTCCAAAAATCTGAACTCTGCATATAAGGAGAGCTGATAAGAGCTGTCATGGCAAACAACTGAAATACATGGCATACACCTTGGGGAACGGCTCTGATCCTAGTTCCTTAGGAAGAGAATGTTAGGATTTACCTTTCATGATGCTAACATAGAAAAACAAGCATAAAATCCTATGAGTATACCACCAGTGAAAAGTCATGTTATAATCCTAATGCTACTGCTCTTTTTGTTTTTTTAATTTCAGTATTTATTGAGGACAATTATGTAAACTACTGGTATCCTTCACTGGTAAGTTATTGGTGATTTGATAGAAAGTCTGTAGTCAGAGGTCAGACAGTAAACTTTACTGTACTTAGAAGATGAAGTATATCTGTATCCCTTAGGTTCAATGGGAGTTAGTCTTTCAGACCTCTGATAATTTCAGGCACACATGCAACATAAAAAATGTAATAAATATACATGGCATTTTCACTAGAAAGCAAGATACTGGCAAGGCATTCTAATTCACTAACTTTCCACACTGCAGAATGTCCTAGAAAAGAGTATGGCAGTATGGCATTTGTATTTGGTAGGGCTTCATGAAAACAGAATCTGGCTTTACCATCTAAAGGCAAAAGATATTAATAACATTTTAATTCTACATTTTTATCTCTGTGCATTCTGTAATATGCTGTAGTAAGAAGACATCGTTCTCATTCATCCTTTTAGAGAACAGATAAGAGAATGTTATCCTTATCTCTGTATACCCATACCCTCAGCTTCACTAACCTCTCTGTGTCCACAGTTAGATATGTTTTGAGCCTTTAATGAAATAAATATCTTAATAAGAACAAGAGCAAATTCTTATAGCCATCTATTTTCAAATCCTGGGAAGGTTTACATGGGAAAATATGCCAATGTTGTGTGACTTTTTTGTACTCCTGTACAATAAAAAAAAAATCCGTAGAAATTCAGAATGCTTATGTTTTCTTTCAAAGACACACATTCTCTTTTTACTTCTTCAGGATACAAATTAGAGATGGCACTTCTCATTCCCTCATGATACCCTTCAACTAGCAATGTAATCCTTCACTCAGTTATTTTAAAGGGGATATAGTGGCAACCAACTGTCCTTACCAGGATCTTTTCTAGGAATTTCTTTTTCACCCACTCCAGAAGAATGATCTGGCAACTGTGAGACTGGAGTAGCACTTCCATAGTACGAGGGGCTGGATCTCCTGATGGAGGTATCCATGGGAGTTGTGTCATGTGTTGATCCACTACCTACATTGTCATCATCCACACCGGAGGTTGAGGACTCTCCACTATGACGTGTGCCATCTGCATTATAATGTGAGCCATCTGCATTGTCAATGACTGTTGGAAAGAGGAAATTAAGCAGCTGATATTATCAAGGATCTACACAGGTATATTTCAGTAATGCTAAACAGTTTAAGCCCCATAGCAAAAATATAAAGAGAAACAGTGGTGGATTAATATAAATTCATTCATTTTTGCCATCTTATCTAATCTGTCTAGACTATACACTACTGAATAATGTATATATGCTAATGTATTTACACATATATATAGAGAGTGTTTTATTGTTATTGTGTCACTAAAACGGTTTCAGTTTTCTTTTCCAACCTGTAAGTCTCTCTACTTTATTCTCTTTCACTTCCCTTTCTGAGAGCTGAGAGGGCTTAATAGAGAGCATTTGTCAATCATTCAGTGGCCAGGCAAGCCCTAAACCTTAACATTGTCAAACATATAGAGCATACTCTGCATCAAATATTTTGAACAGACAGTTTGATTTTGAACACAAAATCTTGGCCTCTGTAAAGTTAATCGGAATTTTAGAATGGGGACAAGTAATATATTATGACAGTTTTCTTCCACTTCCAGTTGCTTTTCTATCCAGCAGCTCAAATGAGAAAGATTGCTGTCTTAAGTAAAGTCTTATACGTCAAAGAAATATTAGCTGCTCTGAGGTACTAAAAAAATGTCAAATACCTATATAAAGAAATGTTTGGTAGAACCTCAGGAGAGCACCTTGAGCACCTTTAGGGGAAGACAAATGACTAATTGTTTTAATTGCTGTCAACTCCTCTTGATTTCTTTTTCTTATGTTTGGCTTCATTTTTAATATTAGCAATTGTTTGTGCAAGAAAAGATAACCAGATACTAAAAATGAAACAAGCTGAAGATATTTCTAAACAATACAGTACCTATTTCACCCTGATTATTGAGGAAAGAAGTATCTATGCTTTCAATTGGCTCACATGCTTTATCCCTTGTTTCTGTAAAAGAAGAAAAATAGAAAGTATTACTCTGAGTAAACTTAGAAAAAAGTGTAAATCGATATTAATTGTACATTATCACAAAATGTCAGCTTCAGATGTGGACAACTGAAAACAAATTTCCAAATCAAACATTATTCTCTGATCTACCTACTTTTTTGCTCCTTCCCAGGTGGGGCGCTTCAAGATTGTTCTGTCAGCTAACAACAAAATTCTCCATTTCCATAACCATTCCAGAAAAGGGTTGCAATCAGCATCAGTTATAATAGCCTCATGACACAGTTTCAATGCAGCCAGCCTCACTGTTGTGATGGCAGTGACAGCTCTAATCCTTTTTAGCTGGAAGGACTCCATTCCCTCCATGGAGAGCCCTGCACTGGCAGTGTGCACCCTGGTCTGGTGAGCATGGCTTGCTCCAAAGGGCTGCAGTGCCACACATGGGCCCAGTGTGCGAGCCACCTGCTGATAGTGCCAGGAGGGAGTAAGACTCAGGAGGAGTTATAAAGCTCTGGTGGCTGCAGCAGGACAGAAGATGGCAGCTCATCTGATACTATGTCAATTAAAAGACAATTTTTAATTATATGACCACCAGGAACATAATTAAAAAAAAATGTTACTGCCATTCAAATAATCAATTAACTTTGCCTACAGCTTTCTGTAAGTTCTGTTTCCACTGTGAATGTAACAAGCTACTGATATTTAAGAAACCTGAAGTTAGTCCAGATTTTATCTTCAAGTACTGTGTTTAGCATCTGTCACAGGATTCCATCCTGCATTGTTACCTGCCTAAAGTCTGAATGGAGATTTGCCTCAGAGCAAATACTGGATGAACAAGGAGAGCAGCACCCACGTCCACAGGCCTGGGATGGCCACTCTGGGCCTTTGAGCTGCTGCAGGTGGCAGCCAATCCTAGCATCCCTTAACACAAATAACTGTAGAACGACAGTAACTACAGAAGCCCATTGTGAGCTAAGCACCATTACCTAGTTATGTCTTCTAGGTTCACTGCTGCAGTGGTTCACTGCACTGAGCCATTATAATGAACCGTTTTTTAGCTACTCAGTTAGTCCCAAGAAAATAGTTTTGTTCAAAACACACTAATGACAAAATGACTCAAATTCATTGCTGGTATTATGGATACACTTCTAGAGGCTGACACAATGCATTTCTTCTCAGCTGAAAACCAGATATTTAATATAGAAGCCCTCATACCAGTACCTTAAATAGGAGATTACATGTTATTGTTATTTAACCTATATCTAAAATACATCATAAAAACATACATATACCTGTTGCATTGTAACAGTATGCATCATAGCGACCAGTTGTGTTTGATGAAAGTTTGTAAATGCCAGTATGATTTGCTGCACAAAGATGATAGGGATTGATTCGTGGGATAACAATATGCCCCACTACAAAACCATATCTGTGAAGAACAGAGGATAAAACACCACATTACACATTATAGCAGATGGCATAAACATTCTAGATATCTCAAACATGAAGAAGCTACAAGATGCCGTTATTTTCATCTCACATTATTTTTTAAAAGTGCATGTGTTTATGCATACTTTGTGTATATGACGGGTGTTCCTTTCTCGTGTAGCTACAGGAACGTCCAGCCACTCAACACCATTTTGGATGCAATTTCTAGAGCTAAACCCATATTCTTAGCTAGGACAATTGGTTCCAGAGGAAGGCAGTGAAAGTGAGGGACTAGGAGGCAAGTGCACTTTTTATTCAGTGTGAGGTTTAATTACCTGACACTAAAGACTCGCTGCTTTTTTCTTCAGGGAGTCACATTTTCATTGCTTTGAGTGTAACATATTGCTCAGTGGCATTTCACCCAGAAATGTGGAAGGGGGGGGTCAATTTATAACATCTGAGCAAATTTAGAGAATACACATCACTTTGCAAAAGCTGACTGCTTACTAAAATATTCCAATACAACATTCATTCAACCACAAATTTTTACTGTATCTTTCAGTCAAACAATGGATCTATGGTGTACAGAGCTCATATATACAGATAATTGCAATTCTGAAACTCTCTTGTAAGTGGAATTATAAAGTACTTTACTTACACTCCCAACAGAGCCTAAGATCTTGACATTGTATAATCCATTAACCACCTACTTGTATATGGTCTGTTGATTTATCTTATTCACTCATCATTCCGCATGTATTTTGATGATTATATACAGTATATTTTTTCTCTCCTACTCAAGCTTGATAAGAGACAACAACTACGCAAACACAAAGGTCAGTGACAAAAGGAGGGGAGGATGTGTGCTGGAGCAGAGGTTCCACTGCAACCTGTGGTGAGATGGCAGGTCGACCCACCTGCACCCCACAGAGATTCAGTGGTGTAGCAGATATCCACCTACAGCCCATGGAAGGCCCCATGCCAGAGAAGCTGGCTGCACCCAAAGAAGGCTGTGACTCCATGGGAAGCCTGTGCTGGAGCAGCCTGTGGGAAGGACTCACACTGGAGGAGTTTGTGGGAAGGACACCACGTGGAAGCAGAGGAAAAGTGCAAGGAAGTTTTCCTACCCCTGAAGAGGAAGGAGTGGCAGAAACAGCATATGGTGAGGTGACCTCAGCCTCCATTCCCGTCCTCCTGCACTGCTGGGTGAGGAGGTAAAGCAACCGGGAGCTAAGTTGAGCACAGGAAGAAGGGAGGGGTGCGGAAGGTGTTGTCTTTAAGATCTGGCTGTATCTCTTACTATTCTACTCTAATTTTACTGGTAACTTTTTCTCGAAGTTGAGTCTGTTTTTAGTCCATGACCATAACTGGTGAGTGATCCCTCTCTATCCTTGTCTCGACCCATGATTCTAGTTATTGGATTAACAGCTATATAAGTAAACTGTAATTATTACACTATAGCATGGACGGATGGACTTGTCATGATATATTACTTTTTCAAGCATTACTTTACCTGCAAGTTTCAAATCCAAGTTCATGAGCTTTCTTCAGCTGATCTAGCGTTGCCAAGGTACTATTGAGAGCTCTGCAGAGTTCAACTGCTTCAGATCGTGTGAGACTGTAGCGATTGTTTTTCTCAACGTGAAAAACTCCGGCATATCTGCAACTTACATTGAATTCTGTTATCAAAAGAACAGAAAAAAAAGGAATTTAAAATTGTTGGACTTAATGCTTCACTGAAGACCTGGAAATTATTTATTTTCAAGCATATTGCTTTCAGTGCAAACCAGCAACAAGCAGCAGCTACCGATTTGTTCAGAAAGAGAGCTAGCATTTTCAATCACCTTCTTCATACTTCCCTTCTTTGGGCTGAGACACAAACCAAATCTTCAGCCTTTCCAAAAGTAGCAATACAAGATGTTTTTGTGAGGTATCTAGCACTTTTGACATAACATTAACAATAATGTGCAGAAAATGTAAACACATTGTGAAAGTCTTGGAAACCACATTACTGCAGAACTATCTGAATATTCAAATATTTTTGAAAACAAAATATTTCATTCATAACAGTATTTTTTAAAGATGAAATGGTTTATAATCAGAGCTTTTATGATCATAAGGTTCTTAAATTATCTCTCTGTGATTTCTTCACAGTGAATCCTTTTAAATGAATAAATACATCAAAGAGCTAATAATAAGAGAAACGATACTAATACAATTAAGAATAATCATGTGTGTAGAGAAAACAGTGAAAGATCAGGATGCTTCAAAGCAGTGTGAATTAGTTTTGCTTCTGCCCCACCTATTCCTTAAGAGAAGGAAGTGATTGCAACTCCAGACTAGAAGGACAACTGCAAAGCACACTTAATTGGAATACCCTATTATTCAATTGAGTAGAGGAGCATGACTCATTTTTATCTTAATTTTCATGGAACTTCCACATGCAAGAAATGGAAAAATAGACCAGTCTTCAAATAGTAAAAAGGGTTGTCTGTGCCATCTATTTGAAATAAAAGATGATATGTTTTCCTAAAAGAGACAAAAAGCAACTAATGCACATTTGCATTGACACGTTCTATGTGAATAACAAGCAACTCTCCTAAAGTCACTTTTGCTTGATGCTCTATTTTCTTCTATAGCATAAATGTGTAAGCAAGTGATAGTAATCAAGGTGTGCACTCTTCCTTCAATTGCTTTTGTTCATTGGTAAAAGGAGGTTATTCTATCTAGGTGTATCGCTCAGTGTAAACTACAAGGGATTTCACAGAATCACAGAATCTCAGGAGTTGGAAGGGACCTTGAAAGCTCACCCAGTCCAACCCCCCTGCCAGAGCAGGATCACTCAGACCAGGTCACACAGGAACACGTCCAGGCGGGTTTTGAATGTCTGCAGAGAAGGAGACTCCACAACCTCTCTGAGCAGCCTGTTCAGTGCTCTGGCACCCTCACAGTAAAAAAGTTTTTCCTCATGTTCAGGTTGAACCTCCTATGCTCCAGCTTGCTCCCATTGCCCCTTGTCCTGTCATTGGCTGTCACTGAGCAGAGCCTGGCTCCTTCCTCCTGACACTTGCCCTTTACAAATTTATAAACATTAATGAGATCACCCCTCAGTCTCCTCTGCTCCAAGCTAAAGAGACCCAGCTCCCTCAGCCGCTCCTCAGAAGGGAGATGCTCCACTCCCTCCATCATCTTTGTGTCCCTGTGCTGGACTCTTTCAAGCAATTCCCTGTCCTTCTTGAACTGAGGGGCCCAGAGCTGAACACAATGTTCCTTTCCTCAGATAACAGGAAACAATCAAGAAGATAAAAGACCAGATTAGATACAGACTGTGTGGTGTATGAGAAGACAACCATTTTTTGTAACTTAGGTAGGAATCCAGTAATATTGATGACTGCTTATCAAAAAGAGCTTAAAAGCTGTGCATCCAATCTTAAATACTTTTACCAAAGGCAACAGAATTAATCATTATGGTTACTTGAGTTGCCTTTCCACAGGAAGAATATAAAAAATACCTCTTCTCCCACCTGTCCCCCTCGATTATTTAGGCTGACAAAAACATTTAATGTAGACAAAATTGATATATATTGCATAGTTGTTTAACAGTCTTGACGACTACGGTTCTTAATATTTTTATTATCATATGTTATTAAAAAAATACGGAGAGGACACAATTTGTAGTTTTATGAAATCCATGCAAGACTAACATGTTTTCTCAAAATGCTTTTATTTTGACACAGTTGTTTTCCTGCTCTATTAATTTTTTTCTGATGACAGCCATGTCATGAGAGGTTTTGACTGCAAGAATGAGAGACCTGTGTGGAAGAGGACACTAACAAATGTGTTTTTCTTTCCTGTGGAACTCAATGTCTTGCAAAAGGGTTTAGTTTCACAGTCCAAGGAGAAGCTAGTGGATTAACACAGAATGATAGTCTCAGCAAGTTCCCACATAAAATTCTGAAATAGCTGCAGTGCTTCCACAAGTGGCAGACACAGACAAGCATAGCACTGGTCCTGAGGACAGCTGAAAGACTAGCAGCCTTCTGTGGCCACCCACTCAATGAACAGCACTCCATGCTCAAAAGCCATCATCACGTCTACCTGCAAGTCACAAGTATAGTCAACAGACATTCAGGTTACAGATCTCAACAGCAGTTTTCTTACGACAACACAATGAATAGCTGCTCTGCACCAAAGGACGTGGCTCATGACTACTGCTAAGAGATGGAGCTCACAGCTGCCACATAAGTGACTTCTACTTTGGCTCTGAATGTTCCACATAAAACCCTGACGCTATTTTGGAAGTTGTCCATTAAGTAGCTGTATTAAACATAAATAACCTAGACAAGAAAAGGGTTTCTCTTTAGTTTTCTCTTCTTGATTCTTTCTTCCCTGTAGAACAAAGCACGCCTAAATTTGTTAATAATTAAACATACTCTGCTGAGCCCAAGACTTAATATTAAATTTGGGTATTAGATCACAAAGATCTGTTTGATTACTTAAAAGTAACAAGCTCAGAGATTTTGGAACTACATTTGTTTGGAACATCAACTTCTCTTCCAATAACTTCAGGATAATTTCTGAAGAACTTTTGCTGTGAAAGTAGATACCACATCCACTTGCTTTGGGTTGCATTTGAGTCTTGCAGCTCACCCCAGATTCACTGAAATATTAAATAAAGTTCACTTATGTTTAGAGTGAATTTGATTTAGCTTTCACTTAACCTCAGCCCATTCATGGTTTTAAAACATTACAATGTACGCTCCATTTCCACCCAGAGTCATAGTCATAGTCATAATCAGAATCCCACTTATAAGGCAACCAATTCCTTAAACCCCAACTGTTGAAAACAAATAGACTTATTTACACAAACAGGCTTAATGCAACTACTGATGTTGAGATTCTGGAGCGTGTTCAGAGAAGAGCCACAAGGATGGTGAGGGGTCTGGAGAACAAGCCTGATGAGGAGCGGCTGAGGGAACTGGGCTTGTTCAGCCTGGAGAAGAGAAGGCTGAGGGGAGACCTCATCACCACCTACAACTGCCTCAAGGGAGGTTGTAGAGAGGTGGGTGCTGGTCTTTTCTCCCAGGTGATGGAGGATAGAACAAGGGGAAACGGCACCAAGCTGTGCCAAGGGAGGTTCAGGTTAGAGATAAGGAGGAAGTTCTTTACTGAGAGGGTTGTCAGAGGCTGGAACAGGCTGCCCAGGGAGGTGGTGGAGTCACCAGCCCTGGATGTATTTAAAGAGCGGGTAGACGAGGTACTTAAGGATATGGTTTAGGGGGTAGACAGGAGCGGTTGGACGTGATGATCTCGGAGGTCTTTTCCAACCGAGCGATTCTGTGATTCTGTGATACTCATTGGGTTACAGTTACATGCATGCAAATTTTCCATGGAAATGCTCTGCCTGGCTCTGCAGCGTACATACTGTACACCAGGACGCTTCCCAGGGAAGCAGGCTTACTGCACACGTGCTGGCCAGCTGCACTGCATGCACACACAGGAGGGCCAAAGCTCCCCAGAAGCCTCTCTCATGCAGCGTGGAAGATCATGTGGGTGTTGAGAAAACCCCAGGCAATCCAATTAATGAAAATATTTCTAATAATATCAATAGAAAACTTATCAAAATAAAAGACGAAGTCTAAACAAAATTATCACCTTAGATTATTTTTTCCATGCTGAGGCTTATAGACTAATTTTAAGCTAAGGAAGAAACATGATTGCTAAATTCAAATCTAAACACATATGCCACCTTCTCCCATAGTGCAGGAAGGTAAAATCCATTAATTTTATGTTGGTGTTACTTAGCTTGCTTTAAAACAGTCATGAAAAAGATCAATTTTTTCTTTGTTTCAAGAGACAAGGCAGTGCAAAACTCGTACTGTGTGCCAGGCTATTACTGATCCCTTCAACCCTTTTGAAGCTTCAAAGGAGCTGATTCAGAGTGGAATCACAGTAGAATCACAAACAGCACTCAAACCTTCACTTCTACTCTTATAGCTCGCAGGCTTTGAGGGCTGACAAGCCATGATCTTTCCCTGACATCCACATGATTTGCTACAGCTGAAAGACAAAATTGTTTAATAATAGCTCTTAAAAAAAGGCAAAAAGTACTAGAGATGCCTGAAGTGTCATCATTATTAATCTCAACCAAACCACGAGACTTGGGTGACTCAACCCAAAACCATGGAATGGCCCTAAGCCTGCACTGAGTTTTGCAAGCATGGAGAACATTAACTTTCGCACAGACTATTTTTTCCTGTCTTTCCTGAAACTTCTGATGATGTGTCTCAAACAGCTACATGCAAGCCTTTCTCTCCTATTGCCATTCAAGTATCTAAACCAGGCTCAATTAATGCTTTTCAGCCAAAATCACTAACTCGAGTTCCACAGACAATTTGCTAGCTAGAGCCCACTGGTGTGATAGAATTGGCTGAGATAGACTGAAGAGCATTGTCCTTTCATGAAAGTGTGAGTTACACCCTGATTATTAATACTAGAGGCTTGTTAGAAGCTGTCAAAGTAAGAAGCCAGGTGCAATCTCCATTTCCACCCTGGTTCTGCAAGCCTTACACATAATGAGTAACACTGACTCATGCAAACTCTCCCCATCGGAGTAAATTTTCCATACAGATTTTTTGATCCACTGTATGAATGTTTCATGCACTGTTCCCTGCTTTTC